TCAGTCTTAGATAAAGCTTTTTGGGGTTTTTTGTGCATTAAGTATCCTAAAACAGGATGTAACATTGCAGTAATAATGTAAAAGAGAACTACAGCTTACTTAGACATTTTACAAATGTATACAGTTCATTAAAATGACTATAGACTATTAATTCTACAAAGCTAAGCACTCAACTTGGAGAATGTGCTTATTAAAGCTATATATTTGACCTTGAGTGATGGCAGTGCACACAAGCTGTTTTCAAATAATCAAATATGTTTTTTTTTCATAGATCTTTAGATGTAGGAATCATACAGCATTTGTAAATTTCTGCTTGTTCTTTACACTCACAGAGTGCTTTTCCCCCATGGCTTAGTTCTGCATATATCTAGCAGTTTAGAAATAGAATTTTTTCAGCTAAGAAAAACATATATTAAAAATTGTGAAATACTCAGCCATTACAATTATCCCATTCAACAAAATTTACTTAGATGCAACGCAGAGGATAAAATAGTTAACAGTGAAGCTAAATTAGCTGCATAGACATGTGCAATGCAGCCCTCCTTAGGTGCAATCTAGGGCTGAAGCAATTAATCACAAAATCTCTACAGTTATAACCTGAGCTTGGCCTAAATATTAAATAAAATGCCTCTTCCAATTTTACAGTTTGCTATTTTTTCTCACGACCACTCTTTGTTATTATACTTAATGTGTAGCATACTGTACAAGCATATTACGCATCTCTCCACTCTATGTCTGTGGACTGGTTTTATGATATACCAAATATTACAGGTTGAAATACGTTTTCTTTGGTCAAAGACAGCTTAACAATTTTCTGCCTTCATGCTGACATTCACCACCTTTTTTCTTCCTTGTCTTCTTCTTTTTAAAGTCTTTTTTTCTTCCTCAGATATCATTTCAGAGATTCACCCTACTGAGTAGTACAACCCTGCATTAGCACAGGGGAGAGAAGTCAGCTGTCATAGAAAACACATTAAAGAATTTATAACTCTACACAATACTATCTAAAATACTGCACCACTTACAAAGTAGTAAAAATCTGCAACATTAGAGATTGATTCCCACATTACTTATCCACAAAAGAATTAAGGTCTTACACGCAAATTTGAGAAATAAAACATGTACCTACAGACAGAAATAACGGTGAACTCATCCCCTTGCACACAGGTGCTGTTATTCCAGTTATTCACTACTACAGATGCCCCAAACTACTTCAGCCTCCGTGGCCTTCCTTGTACTCAAAGCTTATGGAAGTGACCACCACCTAAGAGCCTGATTTCTCTCCCACTGTGCTGCTGTTCCTTCCTTACTGTGTAATGTTTAATTATGCAAACTAGAAAGCTAACTCCTTAAGCCACAAGTAGGCTATTTGCTAGCTGATCTTTAAATTCTTCCTACTGTTGGAGTCTGTGTAGGTTTTAAAAATAAGATTTTAAAGTTCTATCTTCCCGGAAGTTTGAAATATGCTCGTAATAGTGTGTTTACAGTTCAGTCTGAAGTTCTCTGATGCAAAGTCCACTTCCACAGCTTAAAAAATACCAGATACTGCACATTCATTAGATTGAATGATCCAAAAGAAGCAAAAGTTCAAGGTCATGTCCTTTGCCTTTTATGAGTTTGGCACCAAAATCCAAAGCGATAAATGTTTCATTGCTGTGTTGAAGGAGCCATGTATAGTGAAACACAAAACACGCTGTGTTCACTGGTGGATATTAATTTAAAATTTTTCCGTTTTCATATCCCAGCCACGTTGGTTATACTGCTGCTCAAATAAACCATAAAAGGTGTAGGGTGACTCAGCACCATTTGTCTTAGAGAAGAAGCACAGAAAAGTGACCAGGTATTAAAATTCTGGTGTATGAAATCTTCTGCAAATAGGCTGATAAACGGAACCAAACAATTCTTCCCTATCACCATTTTTAGTACATTGCCTAATAGATACTTTAATAGGATAAGCAATGTCCATTTCTTTTGCTTTTAAACTAGATCTTCACTCTTTACAAGAGTGTCCACTGATAGGACAAGGGGAAATGGGTTTAAGTTGAAAGAGAATAGATTTAGATTGGATCTTAGGAAGAAATTCTTCAGTACGAGGGCGGCAAGACTTTGGAATAAATTGCCCAGAGATGTTGTGGCTGCCCCCTCCCTGGAGGTGTTCAAGGCCAAGTTGGATGGAGCCTTGAGTAGCCTGATCTAGTTGAGAGGCGTCCCTGCCCATGACAGGGAGGTTGGACTAGATGATCTCTAAGGTCCCTTCCAGCCTAGGCCATTCTATGATTCTATGATCTTCCTGCTGTTTTCCTTCCTGTAGTGCTCTCACATGTCCTTATGCACATTGTGGTTCGGTACACTGTTGTTTGGCACGTTTGTTTCAGAAACAAATACACTCTCACGTGATTGCATTTATCTACAATGACAATTTACAATTTATCTGCTTGAATTGTGGTCCAACCTTCTAAACTGTCGAGGATCTCAGATTTTACTTTACCCTTACTGCTTAAAATCTCTGTTAGTGTAATAGTGGCAGGTTTGATAAGTGCAAGATTCAGCTCTTACCGCGGGTCATTTACAAAGACATCAGATATCACTAACTAGCTACGCTCTGAAACTGTTCCCAGGCTTGCTTTGTTAGGGCCAGCTGAATCCTGCACAGAATACAAAGCTGTTACAGTGGCTAAAATGAAGGAGAAAAAGAGAGACTGAAAGTAATCTTTTCCCCATTATTACTCAATTCAAGCAAAGCACATTACTAACCTGAGAAATTTTACTCACATTCTGGGATTAGACTACTGAGAGGACAAAGTATCTCTGTTTGGCAAAGATACCCCAATCCGTTCCTCTCTGGCTGCCCAGCTACTTAAAATGCAGCATAATTTTTTAGAATTACTTCAATATTATGAGAAATGGCCAAGCACTGAGACAGAAATAATAAAGAGGAGAAAATAAAGCAATAAACAGCCGTGAGATGAGTGTGTGTGTGCTTGTGAGCGTGTGATGCTGTGCGTTAGGCTGGATTGGCTGGGGAGCTGGAGACTCACAGAGCGGGCAGGAGGACCCAGGGTCCATGCCGGGATACGAAATATGTCATGAGTGAACTTCAGTGCCAGTCAGTCAGAGAAGGTGACTGTCTACACAGTTTTATGTGAGTCCTGGCAGCGTTACTCGTGGGTGTTGTTACAGGCAGTGCCCTGTCCGTGGCAGTTCCGGGGGAGTGTCGTGTGCGTGTGACCTCCGAGATACATGCTGAGCCTCGTGACTGGCTAAACCCAGAAACACAAAAGCTGCCATTGCCTCCACTGGTGCGGCATGGAGAGAGATCCAGATCTCCAGGTGCACCAGCCTGGGATCCAGAGGGTGAGGAGGAATCCCCAAATCCTGTGGTCCACCCAAGGCAGCAGGCTTACAACATCCCTCAGCACAGTTACCTGAGCATCAGGAAATGCAAGCACTGCAGTTTGTAGGGTCGTAATTTGACCTGGTTTGTACTTGTGTTTCAAAATACTGTCTTTAATTACATGATCTATATTTTTCACACTCAGTGTGACAGATGATGCTTAAGTTGCTGCATATCCTTTTGGTGCAGTTCCTAGGCCTCATTTACTGCATGACGTTCAAACCTCAGCCTGAGGATGAAGTGATTAATTTCCTGTGGGGTCTGTCAGTAGAGTATCTCAGCACTTCACATGCAAGTGATTCACTCTCCAGATGTGGGACTGAGGCATGCAGCATCTCAGCAGAAAGTCATGGCTACCATTCAGTGCCTACACGTTAGCAAGTGAGAAGCATTAAAACGGGTAACACACAATTGGTTTCCCCTCTGCAAAGTCTGGTTTAAATACCTTTCCTAGCAGGTATAGACCTAATTCTAGTTCTCAAGAGCTGCACACAGCTGCCTTACCCATAAGACTGTTTTATCTGCACCTGCAATCCTTTGGCATGTTACTGAACCTCTTTTAGCTTCCTCAGTTAATGAGAATGAGGTATGATTGTATTTTTAGTACACATTTTTAAGCACCACTAAAAATAATGTCTTGCAATAGGGTATTATCAGGTGATATACCAAAAAAAGCCCCATAAAGCAAAAACAGGACACAATGATTATATAGTCTTGGTAACACATCTCCATGCACATGTTCAAAGAGATAAATATGTTGCCCCTATTCTACTGACGAGGAAGCTAACACACTAAGGTATAAAAAGGGTTTGCTTTGTATCACCTATCAGGTGAATGACTCAGCTGAGAGAAGAGCCTCTCATGTATTTTTTCTTCAGGATTCCAAAGCACTTTACAACCATGGATATTATTTACTGTATCATCTACACATGGATCAATTCTATTGCAGAAAGACTACACAGTAATCAGTGGAAGAACCAGGTCCCATAATTCTGCAGCCAGTGAAGCCCATCGGACTGTAACAGGTAGTAGAACAGTTCAGAAAACGCCATCCAAGTTTCTGGATAACTCCAAACAGTACCTACATGACCCACATGTACAAATTTATCTATTTCCATAGTTTAGCAGTTTATTCAGCAAAAATACATTCCTCAGACATATTGTTGCTCGGATTTAAATATAAAATATATTTACGTTTTTCAGGTAAACAAATATATCAGATAAACGAGAAAAGTAAAGAAATAAAATTTCCAGAAAGGAACAATCAATTAATAAATAAAAAAACCTCAACAACTGTATTTCTTAAACAAACTAATTGATATAGACTTTATCATTCCAAATAAATCCCTTATCCTAAAATGAAATGTAGATACTAACCCAGCTGAAGACTCAGGTCATAAATCATACAGATATTCCTGACCAGCCAAGCACACCAATCACACGTAGTTGTACCCTATTTATTATCTCGTGGAGTTCGTAACACAGAAAAATAATTTACCTGAAGGTGTAGAATGTGTATTGACACTGCTCTTTCTGAGCAATTGTTACTTGGTTAAGAGTTTCTATATTAAATTTTAACCCTGCACTTATGGACACAGGCAAGTCTTTATTTCCTGTTCTTCACAGGAAGGATATCTGTAATCCAGTAGTGAAACAGAGACGTGATTATCCTGGTATAATCTGAAACAAAGAAAACACATTCTCCCTGAAATACCTCTATGACATTTCTGAACATGAAAGACAAAACTGGTGTGAACAACTATTTCCATTCAATATTAACATTTCAGTAAAACTAATTCAGATACTGTAGCTTGAAGACCAGTACATATGAATTTCTAGATAAACAGGTGCATTTTCTTTTAGGAGGTCAGTTATTTGCATGAGAAACAATTTTGGTTCTGTCCTATTTATTTCAATGCAATAATTTGGAAAGAAAGGAGATCAGAATGACATAATTATATGAGTAAGGCTAAAAGGGTGTCATCTTCTTTCTTTCTGGAGAGTAATTTCACACATTACTATTTACCTTTCAGTAGCACCTAGAAGCCTCAGTTGAGAATGAGTCATCTGGTACAGACAGCTGCATTAAAGCTTGGAAATGCCAGGGCTTCTGTCTTAATTCAGAGATTATCTATATGATTTCATTTATTTTTAACAACAGGCCTTTCTACAGTACTTATCAAATAATATCACATTTAAGATTATTCTATAATGTTATGCTAATATAGCTTTCACATTTCATTTCCTCTTTGAATTTTCACAAAAAAAAAAGGTTAAATTTAATAACTTTAGGGCCTCTGTGTATCGAGCCTGTGCATTGTTGGCACATAGTAACCGTATTACTTTTGGTCTGCAAAATGTACCCCCCTCCTTCTCCAGAGATAGAGACATAAATAAAGAAGAACTCTCCAAAAAAAAAGACAGTTAAAAGAAGCTTCTAGCTCTTCTGAGAGTGATAATTTCCTAGGCAACACGGGAAGAGTACATCTGAGACGTGATACTAACCAACAAAGAGGAAAAGTTAACCGAGAGTGGAATGAAGTTTATGAGTAGGAGCTGAACAAGTTCATAAATTTGGAGATAATGGCCTTTCTTTTTTTTTTTTTTTAATTAAGCAATCACCTATGCTTTAATAATTGACGCAAAATGGGAATTAAGTAACCCTCGTTTCAAAAGCTACAGTTTCCAACCAGCTAATGGAGCATTTCTCCCAGTCGCAGCTCTTCTCCTTTGACCACTGCCCTCAGCAGGACCGTGACGGTGCCCGGCCTCCTTCTGCAAACGGCCCCTGGCTTTCCCACAGCCACCAGCCAAGTCCCCAGCACAGGAAACGTGTGGCTGTCTTGATTTCTAAACATTCTCTTCCCTGTATGTATAGAAGACTGCCAGTAGAGGGAAGTATGTTTTGTTAAAAACCACCAAGTCAATGGAAATTGGAATTGGATATTTTTTTCTTTTTTTACAGTCTGAGAAGAACAACACTTTAGTCATGTTCAACCAAAACACTTGACCACATACAGTTCCACGTGACTGCTCAAGTACAACATTGAAGGTAACGTGACTGAGTAACTCGAAACACAAAGTACAAGGTAACTTGATAGAGGATGACAACTAGGCAGAACAACCAGTACCTCTTAACCATAGAATCACAGAATGTCAGGGGTTGGAAGGGACCTTAAAAGATCATCTAGTCCAACCCTCCTGCCAGAGCAGGATCACCTACAGTAGGTCACACAGGAACGTGTCCAGACAGGTTTTGAATGTCTCCAGGGAAGGAGACTCCACAACCTCCCTGGGCAGCCTGTGCCAGAGCTCTGTCACCCTCACAGTGAAAAAGTTTTTCCTAATGTTTTTGTGGAATCTCCTATGTTCCAGCTTGTACCTGTTGCCCCTTGCTCCTGTCATTGGATGTCACTGAGAAGAGCCTGGCACTGTCTTCCTGACACTCACCCTTGACATACTGAGATTTTCCTGTTCAAGTATGTTTTCTCATTTAAATGAAGGGTTAAAGATAATATCTTAATGTTGATGATTTTTCTGTTTCAATCTCCTCAGCAAGTTCCTCTTCCTGCAAAACATTTCAGAACTTACCACCAACCTTGTTAGACCTTTCCTTGATATGACTACATATATTCTAAGAACTTAAGATAAAAGAAATTTTTTTTCTTCATCGGTTCTTTTTTTCTTTTGGTTGAAATGTGATTCTTAATCTGAATAACATGCTAAAGGTGTGAGACACCAAACGATGGTCTTGAACCAGCGGTTTTCAACTGATCTGCAGACCTTGGGCAGTCAGTCCATAGCTATACTCTGGTCTGTAAAAAGTTACTAAGAAAAGCAAATGCTAAGCGGGAGTTGGCAGACTCAGTGGAAAATCAGATTAAACCATAACATACATATATATGAGGAAATAAAAGATATATAATGGTATCTTTACTTTGCAAAGTAAAATGGAGAATGTGCACTTATACGAAAGAGATGGACCACTTCTAATTTTTTTCGTACTATTTCCTTCCTTGAATTAATGACAAAACTGAATGAAACCTAGTGTGCATTATTCTTTCTTTGATGCTGACATCACAGGTAGAATCATACCCATGGGAAAGAGAGTTAACATTGCTTCTTGAACTGAAAATAGGTTTATTTTGAAAAAATAACACACCTAGCTAAAATTAAGAACAATTGTTTTCATCATGCTAATAAGAAATGACATTTTCTTCCAGTACATTATGCCTCAGTAAAAATAAACAAAATAGGAAAGGTAAGAAAATTAGACAAACTTGTAAAAAAATTGGGATTACTATGATATCCTGTACATTTTTAGTTTCATAATCAGCCCTAACCTGTACTTCTATAACAGGAACTTGAATTTGCTCTCAATATTTTGCAACCACTCTTTTAGCAGCTGTTCATTGGGAATGAAATCTAAAATTTTTTAAAATGGGCAAGATGACCTATTTTTGAGCCAAAAGTAGCGGAAAAAATAATTAAACGCCTAATTCAAGGTAAAATTTCAGTGTACTACATTCTCATTCACTGAAATTCCTGAAGTACAAGTAGAATGCATTGCTACACTCTGCTGATGCAAATTAATATCTAGCAGGTGTTTCATTATCCTTTAATAATTTATAAGAATGAATTTTCCCTCTTTCTTATGTTGTTGTACCTCATGAATATCAAATCAACTACTACTGTTACACTACTGTGAACTTTGAATGAGATTAGAATTGAGCCTGGACCCACAACAGTTAGGAGGGAAAAAACAAATCAATTGGCAGGGTAAACAATTTCAGGTTGTATGACTAGAAACATAAATGAATTTTAAAAATAATTCCAAGACTTGTTTTCTGCTTTTTCAAGTAACAAATACATCCATCAGAGAACTAGGGTAGTTGCACAGATTTGTTTCTAAGTTGCTTCTGTTTTCACTCCAGTTTGATGTTTCTGCTATATAAAAGTAAACAGAGCAGCTTGTCTCAAGGCTGCAAAATCCAACAAAATTCCTACTGTATTGAGCAGAATCTGGACAAGGCCAATAAGGAATATCCTGAATGTGGTCACTTCAACAGTTCCATTTTGATTTAATCAGCAAAACCTGAATTAGGTCATTTAATAAAGAGCCAGTACTATTACCCCTATTACTGGTGAGTCCTGCTTAGTCCGCAAAAGTGTATTATATCCATTATACCTGACGACAATTAAGATGATAGAATCTAAGCTTGAAATTAATTATTGAATGCACAAAAGGATTTTGCTCCATGTGTATGTGAATACTTCAGATCTATCAGAAACTTAAGGGCTGTCATGCTCTATAGGTACACTTTAAAGAATACACACATACTTCTGTAAGAGTGTCCTTTTCAAAATGTATCAACTATGAACCCTACAGGCAGGAATTCTCTCCTTTCTGTTTTTTTCACAATGCACAGCATGCAAGACGCTCCAGTCTTGACAGGGATCTTTAGCCTCTATCATGCTGTAAATTATCTAATGATACTTTGAGCAGCAGACTCTTCTTCGAATGCTCTTGCTAAGCCTCTGATGGCTATGATCTTATTTACTCTGTTACCACAGTCGTTATGTCTTCAAAAGACTTAGAGTACTATCTAAAATGTTTAGCAAGTGCTCTCAACTCTGATTAAATTATTTGAGAGGCAAGAAAATTCAGCGCATGTTGTAGATTTGGCTGATGCTGCAACAAATGTATTAATGGCAAGTAACAATGACTGTTTAAATGAAGCCTACTTCAAAAATGAATTATTATACCTTCTATGGACTACATGCTGATCCCATATTCACTTGAGGAACTATTAACTGTCCAAGAAGAGATTCTACTAAAATTATCAGGGTTATAAAAGAGAACCAAAGGAGCATGAATGAAATCAGACTTGTGCCTCAGGGATGAAAAGATTTAGTAACAGAATAATTTTTCTTTTCATGAATGACTTTATCATATCATTTAATATAAAGAGTGAGTTCACGCCTTTGCACAGTCAACAGTATTTTTTAGAAACTTAAACCAGCTGTTTATATTTACACAAAACCAAATCTGTAAATCAAACTTTGGCATGCACATGTCCACTTGTTAAAGAAGCCAAATAGGTGATCAAGAAGAAATGAAACAATGGGCTTTACCGACTCTTATGCATGTAAAATTAATCCTTAACTGGATGAGTAAAATCTCCAAGACAAACAAATTAATTCCAGTGATTTAAGAGGTTTACAAAGACTTTCTGTCCTAAAGCAGTTAAGATTTAAAAAAATACTGTTTCAAGAATCTGGATCATTTTGTACTCTGCAGTTGCTGCAAAGTATGAAAAGCTTCAGTACTGATCATAATCAAACAAGAAAGAGGTAAAATCACTGTATTTTTTGTGGGAATTATGCTTTCAAATCCTGTATATGCGTATGTTTAACACCATTTACAGCTTCCTAAGGTAATCCTGCTTTGGCAGGAGGGTTGGACTAGATGATCTTTCAATGTCTCTTCCAATCCCTAATGTTCTGTGATTCTGTGTGTGATTCTGTAATAAAAAACACAAAACACAGAAAAAAACCTTTGAATGCACATGAGAGAATGGTACCCACCAGGAGGCATCATGGATTGTTCTTGGAATTGTTTCAAACCGTCCTTCAATCTCTCAATATCCTGTAGCAATACAAGGGATTTCAACTGATGCAGAAGAATCACATCTGAGGAAGAGATGGTGCGAGATTCGAGATATTGTAAAAGCTCTTGGGCTGTTGCCAAATTTACAGCAGGATCTGTGCCTGCTGATTTATCTGGAAAAAGAATTGGAAAACCACATTAAAAACACCCAGTGAGCACAGTGAATTTTCCTAATTATACTTTCTTCTCAAAGACAACATCTTCCTTTTTAGTACAACTTACAACCAAGTATCAGGTACTAAAGAGTAGCTCGCTTATCCCATTTTTCATTAAATATTAAAACAATGGAAAGAGAGGAAAATATCAAATTAAAAAAGTAAAAAGGACAATAGGCTTCATATGGCAGGGATGCAAGAAGAATCTAAATTTCCAAGATTTACACAGAAAAAAGGTGTGATAAAGGAACTGTGCTGTGGCCAAAGCACTGTGGTTTTGCTTCCTACACGCTATATATTATAAAAATTCACACACACATGGAGACAGGGAACAGCTCTGTGGAACTGTTGCAAAGCACTTCTGGAGGCATCCAGTTATCTTGTTATTATATTTTTATTTAAAAAGCAGATATTAGAGCAGAGAAGGCCATACATTGTTTCTAGAGTACTAAAGCATAAATTTATTTTTCCATTTCAGTATCACTAGACTCCCTTTAATTCTTCCGGTTTTTACCAGCAAGATAACTGAGAACAGATTTTTCCCGATTCAGCTTTCTGATACAAGGACAAGAAGTACAATCTAATGTGACCATTTGAAAATGCTGCTAAAAGAAATGGCTTCCGTGTTTATCTAAAAAATCCAGGGAGCGTTAAAGTTGCTTAACTAGAAAAGGCAAATAGCATAATGTCAGATCACTGTATAAATGGGGATGTGCCTAACAAGAAAGTTAGTCACATTTTGATTTATGGATGTGATATCTTATCTGCAGATGAACTTCCGTTTACCTCAGAATTTCCCTCTGTGGATTCCAAGGTCTCCACTGTCTGAACCCTCTGATCAGCAGGTTTGACAGCAGGGCCAGTCAGTCTGTTGAACGCTGCTAAAACCTGAACTTGACTTCCAGGAAAGGTGGAAGCTCAACACTTTTTCTTAAAATTGAACATGGAACACAGCTGTGGAAGACTGACCAGCTTTCTGTTCTGGGTCATGTATTAACAGCAGAACTGTTAACTGAGCTTGCACCTTGCTCACTTACTGTGGAGTTCCACTGCGGCAAATACCTGCAGTTTAGCTTAAATGTACTTAGCCACATGCTGAAATAGTAAAATTCTTATTTTTGGTGATGGAAATATATTTGCCAGAAAGCAGGATGGATTTCCAATGCTAGGTTGAGTATGAAGACCTGACACAGCAGAAAAATTTTAACAGTAAGCAAATAAAATGCTATGTATAAATCTTGAGAAAAAAATTAATGTGAAATCCCTGATGTAATCTTAACAGGGGTTTTGAAGTAAATCTGTATTCTAAAGTTGAATTTTATGGGACTAGAAACTGACAGCTCTCACTTAAGAGGAACTTGTACAGGTAGGTAAGCTGTTTAATAATATTCTTCACTCAGCTTCATAAAGACAGTCAAGGCCATGCACTTTGAAAATTTTTCACTGCTTTTCTCTAGTTTTACAAGACAATTATCATTTTGAAGCTATGTTCTGAACTGATCAACTAAAGAACACATCAGCTTGCCCTTAAGAAAACATATTTAATTCTACATGATACCACCACAGTTAAGTACTGTAGCACTTACCATTAAGGTAAGACATTTATGACATAAAGCACCATACAGGCAGCTTTTTAGGAAGGTAACGGAAGCAACTTACAGTAGGAATTTCTCTGATTTTAGTGGCCAGTTGAACATTCAATAGGCAATTAGGGATAACACCCACGCAATTCTTTTTAAGGTGCCATGGAATGTGCATTGGGCATCAGCTGACACTCATCATGTTCACAAGTGCTTTATGCCAATACACTGCTCCAGTGCCAACAGTCTCTCCTGCCTTCCTCTTAGATGCTGTCTGTCTAGATTTCCTCATATATTACAAATAAATCTCCTCTTGGGAAGGAGAACTTTCTGAAAAGTAGGTTGCTTCAGAGATGGTAAGGATTAAAGTAGTTTAGGATAGCAATTATTGCCCTCATTTGAAGCCCTTTGAAAGCAAGTAATCCTTCCGGATGTTTGCTTGCAGAGGGAAGAATTTAGTCCATTTTAACCATTACATTTACCCCAAGTGCACTGGAATGTTTTTTAAAAAGACCAAGGAGTATTATGTATATCTTCAAAGACAGAGAAACAAAGAGATCAGACCAGTTTTTTATATTGATGTGTATTCTTACATACTCATGTACACACTAGAAAAAGGGACAAATACTAAGCACTCACATGTCTTACTGAGTTCAAAAGAAACACTTCTCTAGCAGATTTACCCATTCTGCAGCAACAAGTGCACATCAGTTTTCCCCTACCTGGTAATACTCGTGAAAAGTAAGAAGAAAAAATGGTACCTACTGTCAGTAAAATAAATTTGTTGTGTTGCCTGCAGGAAGTCCAGAATGCTATCTGCCTTTTCATCTACATCTTTTAAGCCTGCTGCTTCTTTACTGTTATTTTTGTCAGGCTGATATGTAAAATCCACACTTGTAGTTTTTGTTACCAAGCCAGCTGCTCTCATTTTTTCTTTCTGTCGCTTCTTTTTCATTTTCCTCTTTTTGTTTTTGCTCATTTTGGGACTGTCTATCTGCTGCAGCTGTAACTTATCTTGAACAAGAATCTTTTCCCTTTGAGATTCTGTTTGTTCTCCACGTAAATTATTAGAGTTCTGCAAACTACTCTTTTGCTTCTTCCTTCGGATGCGCTTTCTCTTGGTTTGTCCTTGATATTCCTCCTCTGCAAATTCAAAAGAGACATGATAGTTGTAAATAAAAGATCTGTAATAAGCATTTTAGAAGTGCACACAATGAAATATTAGTCCCTTCAAATTCTGGGATGTCTGAGTGGCTCTGCTCTTCCTTTTATGCTTAGAATGCCTTTCAGTACTACAAGGTCAAAGCCAAACTTTCTGAATGCATTACGACTACACTCTCCTTTGTGCTACATACTTTACATCACGTTTACTTTCTTAAGGGAGAATATGATTCCATAGAGAGAGGTCACAAGAATTTCCAGGGCACAAACCAGTATGGGCAGTATGGGGCAAAAGGGATGAGGGAGTTCTTCCAGGAGCCCTCAACCACCAGTTGTTAGACTTGGCCAAGAATGCAAGAAGAATGCATGAACTGCAGCCTTTCTATACTTAAAGGGAACCTCTAAGAAAGATGGGGTCAATCTTATTAGCAAGGCCTGCTGTGACAGGATATAGGGTAATGGTTTTAAACTACACGAAGGTAGATTTACAGTGGATATAAGGATGAAATTTTTTACAATGAGGGTGGTGAAACACTGGAACAGGTTACCCAGAGAGGTGGTGAAGGCCCTGTCCCTGGAAACATTCAAGGTCAGGCTGGATGGGGCTTTGAGCAACCTGATCTACTTAAAGATGGCCCTGCTCACTTCCAGGGGGTTGGACTTAGATGACCTCTAAAGGTCCTTTCCAACTGAATGAATTCTATGATTTTATGATCATATAATTCCATAATTCAAAACAAAAGACAATAGTGCTTATACCAACAATATGCCCCCATGACAACGCGGTACCTTAAAAGCACCAGGCATCTGCTTCTGATTCTTCTACTTTCTCGTTCTTAAGCATCCTCCTCCTTTGGGATATCTTACTGCTAGCTCAGCTTTGGACATTTATACAGAAAGCATGCAAGGCATCAGTGACCTTGGCAAGTAATCTCTGGTCTCTTTAACAGCTTGTCTTGATTCTGGCATTCCCTTGCTACATTATAATTTCCTTACTAGCTAATTCTTCAAAAGGCTCAAATGTCAAGGGAAAGAAGTCCCTCTTGCTCTCCAAGACAGCTTTCCTGCTTCTTTACACAGATCTTATCCCTGTACACACAGTCAGAGTTCTAAAGTCATCTCTGACCCTGAACCAACTGCCTTTACCACATGCTTACTTCTGGGTGTAAGGCCTCCTGGCACTAGCAAGGGAAGACTGCCAGAATGGATCTTCCTTTTGACCACACCACTGCTGAAGTCCATATTCATGCCTATAATAATTCCTCTCTAATTAACTGAAATTCCCTCTTTCATGCTCTAAAAAATCCTCACACATTTAAACATTGTGGAGTGTAGAATGCCAGGACTTCACTCCTTAAGGGAGCAGAAGGCCCGAAACACAGACCAGACCCGGTGCACAGGGAGGTCTGTTGCCTCCCAGGGGTCAGGGTTAGAGACGTAAGTAAGAAGCTTCCTTCCCTAGTACGGCCCTCAGACTATTACCCCCTTTTGTTGTTTCAGATAGGCAGTGATGAATTAGGAAGAACCACTCCAAGGACTATGAAGAAGGACTTCAGAGCCTTGGGGCATCTGATTAAGGGATCAGGAACACAGGTCGTGTTCTCCTCTATCCCTCCAGTTCAGGGGAAAAATGAGGGATTAGACAGGCGGTACCAGCGGATTAATACCTGGCTCCGAGACTGGTGTGTCCGGCAGGGGTTTGGGTTTTTTGACAGCAGCTGGATCTACAAGAGGCCAGGTCTGTTGGAAATGTGTGGAAATAGCCTATCCCACAGAGGAAAAGGGATTTTAGGAAGGGAGTTGGCAGGGCTCATAGAGAGAGCTTTAAACTGGGTATGGAAGGGGGTGGGGGCAAAACCAGGACCACTGAAAAGGAGCAAGAATGTAACATGACAGTGCTTGTGGGGGAGGAATGTAGTAGTAACAGGATCATACAATCTTGTAAATTAGCATGGGATCAAAATGTCATACCAAGTTGCAGGCAGAACCCAAGGGTTGTTGAGAGGATGGTTACTATGGAAACATCTGAGTATCATCAGGAAGGTGTTAGGGCTTCTCCCATCCAAAAGGTGACTCGGCTGAGGTGCATCTACACTAATACATGCAGCATGGGTAACAGACAGGAGGAACTGGA